GTAGAAAAACACGTCAAAAGCCAAAAACATCAGCTGTAAAAACCTCCAGTGTGCATGAGGGCTAAATCTTTATTACTCCAGTTAGATTATCCAAGTTCCTGAAAAAGCTCTGTTATGGTTGTCTGCTCAAGTTGCATGTAGCCAAAAATAAACATGGATGCAATCAAAACCTTTCACAGTAGTAATCTATATTTTATACAGTCATCTAGTAATAGTAGGCCATTTTACTCTACACATTTCATTGCAGCAGTACTGAACCTGCGGCAACATTTTAAACAAACTTGGTAATTGCCCCTTTCTAACTTGTTTCACCTGATGGATGTCTACAATTGACCCCATCTAGGTGAACATATCAGAGAGGGGCAGTTCTTAGATGGGGACATGCTGTTTGTGGTTGAATAAAGATTTACAAAGAAGTCACGTCGTCGGTGTGCAGCCTGCAGTCTGTTACAGTCTTGGTACTAGGAGCTTGGATGGGCTGCTTTGCCGACACCTGATGTAACCAATGTGGATGAGCAGCTCAGTGTTTGGAGTGGTGCCAATCGGTTTGGTTTACTATTTACAGGGCTGTTCCATTTTTTTTTTTTTTTTTGCATAATTTATAGTGTTTAAAATATTACAAAACTCTGCATTCACTATATCTGGTCTCCCACGATACACAGAACTTGGAAATGCAATTATTTCAGTAAATATAAACTGCTAACTCATCAGCAGTTAGAGCAGTCTTGTGGCTTCTATCAGTGTCTAGCAGAGCATTAGCTAAAGCTTGTAGGAGAAGTTTTCTTTCTGCTCTAGGAGGATGTAGACCTCTGTCTGACCAGTGCTGATTTGCCCTGTGCTGATCACATACACTATCCTAAGAAAAAAAGAAAAACCTCTCTAGCAATACATACCAAACTGAGCATGTGTAAGTCATTACGGTTCAGTCTGTCTTATCAGGAGATAAGAGGCGGTTGCTTAAAAAGGGGATGGCCTGCCTTCTCTCCTGCAGCAGGCAGTCACTGAGACAGGGGAGCTGGAGCTGCAGGATCACGTGACTGGAGTGGATTTAAAATAGGATATTACACTATGTGGCCCTTTCTATTTATTTGAGTTCTGGTGGGAACCAGCCAAATCTACAGAACAGCTGCATCCATCCAGGTACCAGGCCATGAGGGATATGCTGACCAGATCTGACCAGACCAGGATGATGACACAGGAGGTCTAGTGATATTTCACACAAATGCGCATAAAGATTGCGTATCTGGTGAGTGCGCAGTCTTTATATTTTATCACCTGATGGTCCTGTCTATTGGACGTCTGAAGATCACCCTGGATCTTAAGAGCACCCCTTCATTGGACTGTTTTCACTCTCTTCACTTTATAGCCACCATTCAGTGGCATTACTAACTTACAGTCACCATTTATTATTGTGTAATCATTTATCATTTGTCTGGATATATAGCGCTGCACCTCCCTCCCTTTTCACATATATGTTATTGAAGGTTTGATACGGTGCCTTTTCTGGTGTACAGCCGCTACCTATTATACAGTATCACATAAGCGCTCACTTATCTTTTGTTTCTCTTGATTAAAGCATGCTTTACTGCATATACAGACTGATCTTACTGTTGTGGGTTTAGTAACACTTTAAATATTTTCATACATGTTGGAATAATTGTCTGAGCATTATAAGCTGCTGTCAAAACTTAAAATATATGATTTTATACACATCCATTTTAGACTGGTACTCCTCCCCTTATCCCATTATAACTTCCTCCTCCTCCTCTCTCCCTACCCTCTTCCTGTTCTCCCCATGTTTATACCCCTCTACCATTTTCTACACCTCACCAAAGTTCAGTATATTTCCATATCTACCTATGTTACTATTGTCTTATTCCTTGTCCCCAGCCAAATGGTGGGGTACACATGCTCCAAAAATGTATTGTTTGACTACGATTTTTATTGAACTGAACGTTATTGTTATAACATTACCCTGTTATTGAAAATCTTCAATAAACACATTTTGATATAAAACTTAAAATATAACTAAAGAGAGGGATTAGGACAGCCGTCAGTTTTTATTGCTGTCTGTACCCCCGGTAAAGAGATTCTCTCTCTCTATTTGTCCTGTTTACCATTATCTTTGAAAGTGAAAGTAAAAGAAACCTCCAAATTTTTAGTTGTCCCCAGAGAAGTAATAGAGGGGAAATCTTCCAAATCGTCCAATGGGGGCATTAGTTCTGGTGACCTGGGGTCCTCAAGGGACTCTCTTAATTTGCAGGGGTTTTCTCATTGTTTTGCTAGTATCCTTAGGAGGTGGAGTTCTTTCTCCTGAGTGAATTTAATTCCCCCTTTTTACTGGAGTTCTGTTCTGCAAGAATTTCCTGTCAAACTGTAGATGTTCCATAGTCATTGTGACTCTCGTGTGAAGATTTTCAGGACAGTTGACCCCTCAGCTGAGCTTTGGGGGACTATACCTTTACCCCGTAGATGAAAATGAGGTGCTGTCCTGCAGTGTTGCTTCAGGTACTGGATCTTGCATGGGTGCTCACCTCTACAGGTCCATCAGCAGGTAGATCCCTGTTTCTGTAGACCCCTTTAGGGGTATGCCTATACAGGATATACTGTATATCGCCTCCTTACTGCCTGATTTAATCCCTAAAAGCCTGCACCTCCATGCCGCAACTGCATACATGCACGTGGTTTTCAGGGCAGTTGCGGTATGGCCCCATTTACTTGGACGTGACAGGGGGTATAATTTTTGTCATGCCACAAAGCAAAGCACAGTGGCAAATATACAACCCTATCCTGCTGCCTTTGCAAGGTGAGGGTGGTGGTTGAGAAGAAATGGCTTTACTTTACTTGGTTCAACTGCTAGTGTTTACAGCTTCTCCCCAACCACAAGTGTAAACTTAGCCCTAATGAACTCAAAAAAAAACCAGCTGCCTTTGCAACGTGAGGGTGGTGGTTGAGAAGAAATGGCTTTACTTGGTTCAACTGCTAGTGTTTACAGCTTCTCCCCAACCACAAATGTAAACGTAGCCCTAATGAACTCAACAAAATCCAGCTGCCTTTGCAACGTGCAAGGGTGGTGGTTGAGAAGAAATGGCTTTACTTGGTTCAACTGCTAGTGTTTACAGCTTCTCCCCAACCACAAATGTAAACGTAGCCCTAATGAACTCAGCAATCCATCCAGCTGCCTTTGCAACGTGAGGGTGGTGGTTGAGAAGAAATGGCTTTACTTTACTTGGTTCAACTGCTAGTGTTTTACAGCTTCTCCCCAACCACAAATGTAAACGTAGCCCTAATGAACTCAACAAAATCCAGCTGCCTTTGCAACGTGAGGGTGGTGGTTGAGAAGAAATGGCTTTACTTTACTTGGTTCAACTGCTAGTGTTTACAGCTTCTCCCCAACCACAAGTGTAAACTTAGCCCTAATGAACTCAACAAAATCCAGCTGCCTTTGCAACATGAGGGTGGTGGTTGAGAAGAAATGGCTTTACTTGGCTCAACTGCCTGTGTTTACAGCTTCTTTCCCCAACCACAAATGTAAACGTAGCCCTAATGAACTCAACAAAATCCAGCTGCCTTTGCAACGTGAGGGTGGTGGTTGAGAAGAAATGGCTTTACTTTACTTGGTTCAACTGCTAGTGTTTACAGCTTCTCCCCAACCAAAAGTGTAAACTTAGCCCTAATGAACTCAACAAAATCCAGCTGCCTTTGCAACATGAGGGTGGTGGTTGAGAAGAAATGGCTTTACTTGGCTCAACTGCCTGTGTTTACAGCTTCTCCCCAACCACAAGTGTAAACTTAGCCCTAATGAACTCAAAAAAAGGTTGCAGCAAGACACTGTAAGTGATGGGTTATATGAATTACTTGTGATTCATTAGGAGATGCGGCACAGTTATTGTAAGCAAGCGGCACTCAAATGCATTTTCTAAATAACTAGGGCACACTGCTGTTTAATTTAATAAAGTGTTTTTTTTCACAGTAAAGTAATTACTCAAGGATGAGCGAGCTGTTTAACATTTAAAGATTGGTTGGTCAACCTCCTTCTTTTGTTTAAGGAATGTTGTTAAAGTGGAATTAACAGGGATAACACTAGAAAGAAATAGAAATGTAATTAAGTAATGCTATTGTAATATATTTAGATGTGCAGGGATTAAGGTACAAGCTTTAAAATTACACAAGTGAAATTGTAAAAACATGTTTACAAGTTAAAGCCCCTGTTTGGTTTATCTAACAAGAGAATTGTACTTGCCATACACATATAGATTCCTACACCCATGATACATAACCAGTATAGACAAATCTCCTGCTGTGGCTATTGTATTTTGACAGCCGGCCTAGCCAGCTGTCAATTTACCTGAACAGTGCTTGCCTCCAATAATGCTGCTTGGCTCATAAAAGATTTCTGCCCATCTTGGGCAGAAAGTGACAGACAGGGCCACCTACTGAGCGAATTTCATCTGGTTCAGCAGGAACACAACTAGTCTAAATGCAAACGATCATCTACACTGCAGGAACTGCCCATTTATAGACTTTATAAAATATACACTATATTGTGAAAAGTATTAGGACACGCACATGAACTTTAATGGCATCCCAGTCTTAGTCCGTAGTGTTGAATTTTGAGTTGGCCCACCCTTTTTGCAGCTATAACTTGAACTCTTCTGGGAAGGCTGTCCACAAGGTTTAGGACTGTGTCTATGGGAAGGTTTGACCATTCTTCCAGAAGCACATTTGTGAGATCAGGCACTGATGTTGGATGAGAAGGCCTGGCTCGCAGTCTCCGCTCTAATTGATCCCAAAGGTGTTCTATTGGGTTGAGGACCTTGCTTTGTGCAAGGTGTTGGAACAGCAAGGGGCCATCCCCAAACTGTTCCCACAAAGATGGGAGAATGAAATTGTCCAAAATGACTTGGTATGCTGATGCCTTAAGAGTTCCCTTCACTGGAACTAAAGGGCCAAGCCCAACCCCTGAAAAGCAACCCCACACCATAATCCCCACCTCCACCAAACTTTACACTTGGCACAATGCAGTTAGGCAAGTACCATTCTCCTGGGAACCGCCAAACCCAGACACGTCCATCAGATTGCCAGACAGAGAAGCATAATTTGTCACTCCAGAGAACACATCTCCACTGCACTAGAGTCCAGTGGCAGTGTGATTTACACCATTGCATCCGATGCTTTGCATTGCACTTGGTGATTTAAGGCTTGGATGCAGCTGCTCAGCCATGGAAACCCATTCCATGAAGCTCTCTATGCACTGTTGTGCTAATCTGAAGGCCACATGAATATTGTAGGTCTTTAGCTATTTACTCTGCAGTCAGTTGGCTACTTCTGTGCACTGTGCACTTCAGCATGCGCTGACCCTGCTCTGTCATTTTACGTGGCATAAGATTTCATGGCTGAGTTGCTGTTGTTCCTAGTTGCTTCCACTTTGTTATAATTCCACTGACAGTTGACCGTGGATTTTTTTAGTAGCAAGGAAATTTCATGGATGGACTTTTTGCACAGGAGGCAACCTATCTCGGTACCACGCTTGAATTCAATGAGCTCCTGAGAGTGACCTATTCTTTCAAAAATGTTTGTAGAAGCAGTCTGCATGCCTAGGTACTTGATTTCATACACCTGTGGCCATGGAGATGATTGGAGCTCCTGAATCCAATGTTTTGAAGGGTTGCCCCAATACTTTTGGCAATATAGGCAATGTAGGGAAGCCTACCCCACCCCCTGCTCACCTGCCGACCTCCTCCACTCTTCCTACCACTCCATCCCCCACAACTATCTCCTCCTGTACCACTATCCCCCCTCCCTCCTAGATTGTAAGCTCCAAGGAGCAGGGCCCTCGATCCCCTCATGTTTTGCATTGTATTGGTATTGTTCTGTCACATGTTCTGTCCCCCTCTGTAATGTACAGCGCTGAGCGAACTATTGGCGCTTTATAAATACTGTATAATAATAATATTAATAATATAGGGTATCTTTCTTTGCGATCACCAGGGTAGGGTTTTAAATGACCAGTACACATTAAATAGCCTTGCACAAAGATCTGTACATGATATGTCTGGGACTGTTCACTCCAAGTCCTTGTGACAGTAAAGACTCCCTTGCTCCCTCATCACAGAATTGGACTGACATCAATAGGAGCCAATGGCTTCCAATCTGCCAAGTGAAATGGGAGACTAACCAGCCCAGGTGAATAAACAATAAACTGCGGCCTCAACCTACATGTCTCCAACAAGCCACACACACTGATCCATTTTGCCCTGCTGAGCCCTATGACTAAGCTCCTGTGGGTGGGGTGGAATGCATAAGAGTGTGTGGTTTGCTGGACACATGTAGACTGAGGCCGCTCTTTATTGTTTAATCACCTGGGCTGGTTGGGAGTTGCAGCAATCCTTTCCTCTTTACATTTACTAGCCCCCTGCATTGGTATTAGGACAAGTTTGCACCCCATGTTCTGGAACACAGGGATATGTTTAGACCTCTACTTTGAGTGGCACCAAAAGTAATCAAACAGATCACCCCTCTTCACTTGCTTTATTACTGATGAACTGGCTACATACAAGAGAGTGTATATTCCAAATACAGCAATCCACCATTATGTAACCCACATCATAAATGGGGTGAATATCAGTGAAAATCCTTTTTGCTCAGAAGAACTGATATTGCTGAATATCAGGCAATGTCAACTAATTTAGCTTGATACGTAGAGAGATAGATGAAAACATTTCAGATAGGCTTGCCAATTTTCCCATCAAAACTTGGATAAATAGATCACATAACGTGAAAATTAGAATTTGTTTAAACAAAGTGTGTATTTGATCACCTAAATTAATTGAAAGAAAGTACCTAACAGAAATACAGTAATTTTAAAACCACGGTTTATTTTCTAGGAAAACCAATATGCAATAAAAGACAAGTAACTGATATTTTACAAATAATGTTGCTCTATATCTAATGGAAAGTAATACAGTTATATTGTAAATTGCCTAACCTATAATGGATTAACTGCAAATGACTTTATGAAAGAGGCCGTGTGTTTGTTTTCAAGCATGCGTTGAACAAATTTAACCACCTACTTATACAGTGCGGATTATCCAGGGATAAATGAATTGCTGTTCCAGCTTTTAAAATGATAAAGCTATTACACCTCCTTCCAGTCTTATCCTTTTAGTTATCATTTCTCTAAATAGGTCTTTTCACCGGCAGTTTAAACAGGCTTATTAGACTGGATCTGCGAAGGCTTGAAAAGTCGAGTAGTTTTTCATTTCTAGAGGTCTGCCAAAGGAAATCTTGCTATCTTGGTAAAACGATGCACAGCCTAAGCAGAGGACCTTCAGTGTGTGTGCAAGTCATCTCAGTAATTATCATGGTTTCTTTTGGATTGTACAGCATCATGAAGGGTATGTCTTTTGACATCTTCAGTTGGTGGTATGTACTTGGAGCTGCCTGCATGGTGTGCTCTGCCTTTGCCTCCTTCCGAATTTATGAAGTTTGCAGCCTTGTTACATACAGGGAAAGTTCATCAGAGACCATCCGCAATCCATGACTCGAAGACCTCTTTGGCCGGGCATTCAATCTGGAAAATTTAATACAACATAGCAGCATACCCAGTTCAACAAGGGAATGATTCATTTTCTGCACTTGACATTGGAAGCAATTCAATTATGTAACTCCATGTAACCTGCCGTGTTTGATACAGCAAAAATGGTACAGAGCTTTAATCAGTAATACTTAATATATCCTTACCTGTATTCTCTTAGCAACCTACACTCCGTTATTTGTAATGATAAAGACTAACAAGCTACTGTTGGACTTGTCCATCGCTCCAAGTATGTAACCAGAATGCTTTGCTTTAGAAGTGTTTCAGTCTTTTTCCTAGATTTTCTAAAATCATCTGATTGAAGAGTAACCTAATACAGAAACCAATGAATATATTATGGAATTGTGAAGGAGGTTCCCACCCACTATATCAGATATAATTGTTATAATGTGCTGGATTTATTGAAAGATATTAAACTACCTGTACATGGATTCATATGACTTTGAACTCTTTTTTTGGGTGACAACCTGATTGATGCATAGCATAGCACTGCAACCAAGAATACCAAGGCTTCATATGGAACAAGATATGTATTTAGCAGATTGAAGATTTTACTCTGATGTCCCATCCTTCTATAGTTTGCATAGATATGTAGATATATTTTAAAGCTGATAAACCAAAAACTGTGTGTACACATCTCTCAAAATTCTTTTGAGAGTATGCTCATTCTCAAATCAATTAAGTAGTTTTTGAAGCTTTTCAATTATATTGAAAAAAATGTTTTGTGATTTTATAAACTATGTTTGTCTTATTGAAAAACATTTATGTTTATTGGAATAATTATGTAGTGACCAATAGCATTTAATTAAAAATGATCTGTGTATAGAAACGTGTTACATCACAATTTACTGTAATCTCCAGGGGCGGACTGACCATTTGGAAACTCGGGCACTGCCCGAGGGCCCGGGGTCAGTAGCGGGCCCCATGAGATGCCCCTGGTACCTTTTTCATAGGCTTTTTTTGAGTTTGGGCAAGGACACAGGGGCCCAATGATCCCCAATTGCCCGGGGGCCCCATGAGTTGTCAGTCCGCCCCTGGTAATATCCTGCATCTTTGTGTTTGTATTTTACCTTTTGTTTGGAATTAACCTTGAGGATACCTCCTATTTGTGTAGCACCTAAAATCACGTCCTGCTTAGTTTGACCCCCTGGTTATGCTCCCTGACAAGCTTGACTTGTGGGAATTCAGTAGCATAAGTTGTGAAAGTGAAAATGGCAAAGGTAAAGGCACGCATATGGCCCATAAGGCATTGGTACAGCGTTCAGCCAGAGCCTGCCATAGACTTTGGCAGGCTCACTGCAGGCAGTGGGACGGCATGCTGTACCTGTCCCTCCTGGGTGGGACACACTGCAGCTAGACGGCCCTGTGTGCAAGGAGCCTAAATCTTTCTTAACTGAAAAGAAGTGAAGTTACACTGGTTTGGGGCATTGCAGCACAAAGGTCAACCAATAATCCAATGGATAGTCAGCACTGTGCAGTCTTGGCAAGTGGGAAGCACCAACCAGCCAACTGTCTACAGAACAACCCATTATACAACAAAATCTGCTGTGAACAAATGTATTATTAGTAAAAAGTTAGAGAGAAGTGCAAGATGTAAACTAGTTGTGTTACGTGTGATAAATTGTCTTCCTAAGATTTAAGTGGAAGTCCAGGCTATTAATAATGCTTAAATCTGCACTCACCCCCCTCTAACGCCTATACTAACTACCCTGTAGACGGAAAATGCATACTTACCTATTCTCAGGGCGCTCAGGTCCAGTCATCCCCATAGGCAGCCTTCAGGGCAAGGAGAGATCACCAACAGTGTTTGAAATGCCTGGCCGATGGCATCATCCATAAACTTACTAAGGGACATCCATTGTTGGCTGTCTCTCCTTTTCCCTGAAGCTGCCCCTTGGAGCCAATCGTTTGACTGGACTGGAGTGCCCTGAGAATAGGTAAGTATAAGCATCTTCCTTCTACCGCATAGTTAGAATAGGATTTAGAAGGGTTGCAGCAGATTTAAGCATAGCTAGAAATAGCTTGGACTTCCACTCTATTGGATTACCATTTTTTGAATGCATCTTATCTCCATTAACCACTTCCCGTCCAGCCCATGTATATAAACGGCCGGAAGGGAGCAGTGCAGGGGCGGGGTTACCATTTATAAACGGCACCCGCCATTTTAGCCTGTGCACGCTCCCTGGGAACATCGATCGCTGTACAGGACCTCTGTGCGAGGTCCTGATCATGTGATCACCGATTGGCCAATCAGTGATCACATGAATAGTAGTAAGCAAGATGTCACTTCTGACATCATTGCTTACTACGTGTGAAATCTGTGAATGATCACAGAGGTCACATGGTACAAGGCTATCCACAACAGCCTTGTACCATGTGACAAGCTGTGACCAATCACAGATCACAGCTCAGTATTTCTCAATGGCTGCAAGAATGCAGCCAGAGAGAAAGAGAAATGATTGCATTTACAGCCTTTATGGGTGTAAAAGCAATAAATGTAAAAAAAAAAAAAATCTTCATCACCCCTCACAAGTAGTACAGTGTCACTATGGTGACACTGTACTGCTAGGGTGACATTATGTTAAAAAAAAACAAAACATAAATAATAATATAAAAAAATTAAATACAAATGTAAAATATTTTTTTTAAATATAATTTTTGGTTATAAACTAATTCGGTTTATTTTTTTTTTTTACTAAAAAGATAGCTGAATACATTTTGGCTAAGATTTATGAAGAAAGATGATTTATTTGCAAAATTTTATAAGAAAAAACACTTTTTTTTCAAAATTTTTGGACTTTTTCATTTATATAGCTAAACAAATTAAAATCCCAGTGGTGAATAAATACCACCAAAATAAAGTTTTATCTGTCTCAAAAAAATGCTAAAAAATTCATATGGGTACAGTGTTGCATGACCGCGCAATTGTCATTCAAAGCGTGATACCGCTGAAATTCTGGACAGCAAGGGGGTAAGTGTCCGGACTTGAAGTAGTTAAATATATGCTCTTTTACCAAATGAAATGCTTTTTCTTTCCCTATGCTTGAAGAGCTGTCATCACAGCTAGGCTATTGTACACTATGACACTGCAACTTAGACAAGGAGTGGGAGCATGGAAGAATCTGCTTCACATGTCTATTTCAATGTGATTTATTAAAGCAATTGAGCATGTTCCCTTTGAGTCTGTTTTCACTTTGTAAGGGAATTTTTACTTTGTTTTGAAAAGAATACCCAATCACTTGCAAAGAAAGTTGAAAGACAAGGATTTTTTTCTTGCACATAATTGGATGATAGAAGTCAATATACTGTTGGTTCCCATTTTTTACTAAGGTAGAGCACACAAATTCAAACAGTAATGCAAGCAGTGGGCTGGCTCTTAGAGGAAGTTATACAAATAAATAAAATGCCTTGCTGGGTGGATGTCAGCCCCCCTAGATAGGCTTCATTTGCATGATTGTCCTAGGTAAAGCTCACATGTGATGCTGAGCCTTCAAAGCCAATGGATTAATAGAGTGGGCCAGGGACTGGGAACAGCTAGATCAGGGGTCCTCAAACTTTTTAAACAGGGTGCCAGCTCACTGTCCCTCAGACCGTTGGAGGGCCGGACTATAGTTTTAAAAAAAAAACTATGGTCATCTCCTGTACTGTGTCCGCATTTGTTCAGAGACTGCGGACATACAACAGCGGTGGGAATACTGGGCCGGCCGCTCTATAAGACACACAGACATTTCCCCCCAAGTGTGTCTTATGGAGCGAAATAGTATCCCATCATTGGTGTCAGTGGGAGGAATAGTGTCCCATCATTGGTGTCAGTGGGAGCAATAGTACCACACCATTGGTGTCAGTGGGAGGAATAGTGCCACATCATTGGTGTCAGTGGGAGGAATAGTGCCCTATCATTGGGAGGAATAGTGCCCATCATTGATGTCAGTGGGAAGAATAGTGCCCCATCATTGGTGTCAGTGGGAGGAATAGTGCCCCATCATTGGTGTCAGTGGGAGGAATAGTGCCCCATCATTGGTGTCAGTGGGAGGAATAGTGCCCCATCATTGTGTCAGTGGGAGGAATAGTGCCCCATCATTGGTGTCAGTGGGAGGAATAGTGCCCCATCATTGGTATCAGTGGGAGAAATAGTGCCCCATCATTATGGTGGGAGGAATAGTGCCCCATCATTGGTGTCAGTGGGAGGAATAGTGCCCCATCATTGGTATCAGTGGGGTGTCAGTGGGAGGAATAGTGCCCCATCATTGGTGTCAGTGGGAGGAATAGTGCCCCATCATTGGTATCAGTGGGAGGAATAGTGCCCCATCATTGGTGTCAGTGGGAGGAATAGTGCCCCATCATTGGTGTCAGTGGGAGGAATAGTGCCCATCATTGGTGTCAGTGGGAGGAATAGTGCCCCATCATTGGTGTCAGTGGGAGGAATAGTGCCCCATCATTGGTGTCAGTGGGAGGAATAGTGCCACATCATTGGTGTCAGTGGGAGGAATAGTGCCCCATCATTGGTGTCAGTGGGAGGAATAGTGCCCCATCATGGTGTCAGTGGTAAGAAATAGTGCCCCATCATTGGTGTCAGTGGAGGAATAGTGTCCCATCATTGGTATCAGTGGGAAAATAGTGCCCCATCATTGGTGTAGTGCCCCATCATTGGAATCAGTGGGAGGAATAGTGCCCCATCATTGGTGTCAGTGGGAGAATAGTGCCCCATCATTGGTATCAGTGGGAGAAATAGTGCCCATCATTGGTGTGGTGGGAGGAATAGTGCCCTATCATTGGTGTCAGTGGGAGGAATAGTGCCCCATCATTGATGTCAGTGGGAGGAATAGTGCCCCATCATTGGTGTCAGTGGGAGGAATAGTGCCCCATCATTGGTGTCAGTGGGAGGAATAGTGCCCCATCATTGGTGTCAGTGGGAGGAATAGTGCCCCATCATTGGTGTCAGTGGGAGGAATAGTGCCCCATCATTGATGTCAGTGGGAGGAATAGTGCCCCATCATTGGTGTCAGTGGGAGGAATAGTGCCCCATCATTGGTGTCAGTGGGAGGAATAGTGCCCCATCATTGGTGTCAGTGGGAGGAATAGTGCCCCATCATTGGAATCAGTGGGAGAAATAGTGCCCCATCATTGGTGTCAGTGAGAGGAATAGTGCCCCATCATTGGTATCAGTGGGAGAAATAGTGCCCCATCATTGGTGGGAGGAATAGTGCCCCATCATTGGTGTCAGTGGGAGGAATAGTGCCCCATCATTGGTGTCAGTGGGAGGAATAGTGCCCCATCAGTGGTGTCAGTGGGAGGAATAGTGCCCATCATTGGTATCAGTGGGAGGAATAGTGCCCCATCATTGGTGTCAGTGGTAAGAATCGTGCCCCATCATTGGTGTCAGTGGGAGGAATAGTGTCCCATCATTGGTGTCAGTGGTAAGAATCGTGCCCCATCATTGGTGTCAGTGGGAGGAATAGTGCCCCATCATTGGTGTCAGTGGTAAGAATCGTGCCCCATCATTGGTGTCAGTGGGAGGAATAGTGTCCCATTATTGGTGTCAGTGGTAAGAATCGTGGCCCATCATTGGTGTCAGTGGGAAGAATCGTGCCCCATCATTGGTGTCAATGGGAGGAATAGTGCTCCATCATTGGTGTCAGTGGGAAGAATCGTGCCCCATCATTGGTGTCAGTGTGAGGAATAGTGTCCCATCATTGGTGTCAGTGGGAGGAATAGTGTCCCATCATTGGTGTCAGTGGGAGGAATAGTACGTCATTGGTGCCAGTGGGGGGGGGGGGGTGGAATAGTGCCCCATCGTTGTGTCGGTGGTAAGAATCGTGTCCCATCATTGGTGTCAGTGGGAGGAATAGTACGTCATTGGTGCCAGTGGGAGGGGGGGGGGGTGGAATAGTGCCCCATCGTTGGTGTCAGTGGTAAGAATCGTGTCCCATCATTGGGAGGTGTCAGTGGTAAGAATCGTGCCCCCCATCATTGGTATCAGTGGGAGGAATAGTGCCCCATCATTGGTGTCAGTGGGAGGAATAGTGCTCCATCATTGGTGTCAGTGTGAGGAATAGTGTCCCATCATTGGTGTCAGTGGGAGGAATAGTGTCCCATCATTGGTGTCAGTGGGAGGAATAGTACGTCATTGGTGCCAGTGGGGGGGGGGGTGGAATAGTGCCCCATCGTTGGTGTCAGTGGGGGGAGGAATAGTGCCCCATTATTGGTGTCAGTGGGGGGAGGAATGGTGCCCCATCATTGGTGTCAGTGGGAGGAATAATGCCCCATCATTATTATCAGTGACACCAATGATGGGGCACTATTCCTCCCACTGACAGCAATGACACTTAACTAGCCGACCCCTGTTCCAGCATGGTGCTGCTGCAGCCAGCATACCTGATTGCAGCAGTACCATATGCACGGCACACTTACCGGGCGGTCAGCTGTCCTCCTTCCTTCACTTCGGCCTCTCCCTCCCTTGATTTCCGCGGGGCCGCTCGGCTCCGCCTCCTCGCCGGTGATTGGCCGCCTGTGTGCCTTTCCTGAGCTACAGTACTAGCGCCCAATCACCGGTGAGGAGGCGGAGCTGAGCGACAGTGCGGACATCGAGTGAGGGAGCGGCGGATTGAAGGAGCTGCGCATCCTGGACTGGATCGTCGTGGGACTGGGACACGGAGCAGGTAAGAGACAGCAGCCCCCTGCCCGCCCCTGTACTTAGTGTGCCCTGCCGGCGGGGCTGGATGAATGTGCTCGGCGGGCCGCAGGTGGCCCGCAGGCCGTAGTTTGAGGACCCCTGAGCTAGATGATGCTGGATTCCCACCAGCTAACAAATGACTGATGCTCTATCTGATTAATTTTTAATTTTCTGGCCTTTTTTTTTCCTTTTGGTTATTTTCACCTGTATTTTTTGCACCTATTGAAAGAGAGTGAGATTTAACCAAACACTTCTAATTGTATAATTAACAGACCAAAAAGGAGTACATAAAAATATATGCTTAGACTTTGCATATTTTTATAGGGAAATTACAGTATAGTGTATTTTCAGCAAGAATTTATTTCAACCAAAAAAAAAAAAGATGTGGGTTGGTAGTTGCAATTTTTTGAAGCTCATTTATAAATGGTGCAGCAAAAAGTGCACACTGCGACCAATGAGCCCTTTGAATGCTTGTGATTAATGTGTCGGACAGAACAGAACTACAGGCAAAACCCTCCCCTTCCTTTCACAATTGCTGCAATATGTATACACCCCTCCTGTCTGTGCATGGAAGTATGACACCCCTCCATAGAATATATTTTACCCTAAATTTATGAAGAAAGACTCTTTATTTGATATGTTTTGTAACAGAAAGTAAGAAAACTGATTTTTTTATTGATCTTTTTTCCTTTATATAGTAAAAAAAAAAATAAACCCAATGGGTATTATATACCACCAAAAGAAAGTGCTTTATGTCTCAGAAAAATGATACAAAATGAATAACAAAGCAATTGTCAGTGAAACTATCATAGCACTGAAACAATGATCTGGAAAGGAAGTGGTAAAGTATATACAGACTAGTACTCAGGTGGATAAGTGGTTTTCTATAAAGTATTTTTTAAAATTCCTTTCACACTTTTAGCCTTCAGGAAAAGCCGGCACAGATACCAAATACTTTTTTTTACTTCTTCCTTTCATACTCCCCTAAAAATGTGTGATTGTTTTTTTTTAAATGTTCCCTAATAGGAAGTTATTGAAATTTCCCTAATAGGAACAACAGTAATAAATTCTTGGCAGAGACTGTAACCCAAATGGTGGTCAACGAACTTCCCCTGACTTCACCAAATAGGAAATCATAAACAGTGGCTCAGACAGATTTTGCAGAAGAGGCTCCCATGCATCCTAAAAGTGGTGCAGCATGCTGTAAATTCATGTACCTGTCTAAACCTTGTACTTTTTACCCACTTCATGACCGGGCCATTTTTTGCTATTTAGCGCTGCGCTACTTTAACTGGAAATTACGCGGCTATGTAACACTGTACCCATACGAAATTTATATTATTTATTTTACATAAATAGAGCTTTATTTTGGTGGTATTTGATCACCACTGGGTTTTTTCTTTTTTAATATATAAATGAAAAAATACTGACAACATTCTGGAAAAAAAAAAAACAATAGTGTTTACATTCTGCTATAAAACATATCCAATAAAACAATTTTAAAAAAGCTAAATTTCTTCATAAATTTAGGCCAAAATGTATTCTGCTATGTCTCTTGGTAAAAAAAAATCCCAGTAAGTGTATTTTGATTGGTTTGTGTGATAGTTATAGCATCCACAAATGATAGCATATATATACTGGACTTTTTTTTATAATACTAGTAATGGTGGTGATCAGCGATTTATAGTGGGGACTGTGATAGTGATAACTGACACTGGGTGGGAACGAACTACCAACTGCAGTGACACTAATACAGTGATTAGTGATAATACTATACACTGTCACTCTACTAATCACACTGACTGTGTTAACATAAGGGGTTAACATCTCAGGTAACCAAGAGGTTAAATGTATGCCTAACAAGTGTTAATGTGTGCTGCTTTTTACTAAACATATTTTTTTTTCTTCTCCCTGCTTTGCAGAGAGAAGAAACAGAGATTGTTCTGTGTACAGAGCTCTGTGTTGATTGCAAACACAGGGCTCTGGGCTGTGATTGGACACAGCTGATCAGCAAGTCCTGGCCTTGAATCATTGGGTGGGACTTGCTGACAGACTCCCGCTGTGTACAATCGCAGTGAGAGTAGGCAGGCAGGCAGGAACACTCATGCGTCCTGTACCTGAAACCAGGCAGCGACATACAGGTACATTGCTGTACATTGCAGGTGGATGGTCAGAAGTGCTTAAGAAAATTTTAAAGCACCCTCAATACCCCTGTCTACACCCCATGGTAAACACACAGTGTACTTAAACACAGATTTTGCCACATATGTGAGGTATTGCCAAGAACATCACAGTGCATCACAGTGAGAGCAATAATTATAGGGCCACAATTCATGGCGAACTGTAAATTGACAACATGTAAAGACTTTTTAACCGCCTCCCATATAGTAAAATGACGGGCGCAAGGTGGTTCTCTCATTCTGGGAGGACGTCATATGACGTCCTCCCATTCTAACCATGCATGCGCGGCTCCCAGGGCGTGCAGCGCAGCTATCGATGGTGCGCTGTGTCCCTCGGACACAGCGGATCACCGATCAACGAGAAGATGTTGGCTCGGTCATGTGATCAGCTGTGTCCAATCACAGCTGATCACATGTAAACAGGAAAATGCTGGTTATCTGCATTTCTCTCCTCACGAGCTGTCAAACTGACAGCTCGTGAGGAGAGGAGAGGCGGTAATTGGCATTCCTCGGAGGAGACATGTACACTGATCATCAGAGCACTGATGATTAGTGTGCCCTGATGATCTGTGTAGCCCCAGCAGTGCCACCTGTCAGTGTCCATCAGTGCCAGCTGTCAGTGCTCATCCATGCCACCTGCTAGTGCCCATCAATGCCACATTTCAGTGCCCATCAGTGCCACATCAATGCCACATATCAGTGCCCATCTGAGCTGCCATTCAGTGTCGCCCATCAGTGCCAGTCAGTGCCACCTATCAATGCCAGTCAGTGCCACCTATCAGTGCTGCCAATCAGTGCCACCTATCAGTGCCGCCAGTCAGTGTCGCCTATCAGTGTGCATCAGTGCCGTCTATCAGTGCCGCCTAACAGTGGCAGTCAGTGCCGCCTATCATTGCCATATATGAGTGCTGCCTTTCAGTGCCCATCAGTGATGCCTGTTAATGCCCATCAGTGCTACCTACCATTGCCTGCTCATCAGTGCCACCTATCAGTGTCCATTAGTGCAGTCTGTCAGTGCCCATCACTACAGCCTCATTAGCGCACATCAGTGAAGGAGAAAAATCACTTATTTACAACATTTTATAACAAAAACTAAGAAAAAACTTTTTTTTAAAAAAAAAATTTTCAGAGGTTTTTGGTTTGTTTAAGAAAAAATAAAAACCCAGAGGTGATTAAATACCACCAAAATAAAGATTTATCTGTCACAAAAAAATGATAAAAATGTCATATGGGTACAGTGTTGCATGATAACGCAATTGTCATTCAAAGTGTGACAGCGTTGAAAGCTGGAAATTGGCCTGGGCAGGAAGGGGGTATAAGTGCCCTGTAGGCTAGTGGTTAAAGTGTCCCTAGGGGGAAATTTGTGTACCAAATTTAGTTTTCTTTCTGGGTACGTACAATTTAAAGTCTTGTTTGGTATCTACTACATGCTGCCTATTTTTTCTATTTTCCAAAGAATGGGTATAATATAAAATAATACTTGTTTGCACTAAAATCTGCATTTTTTTTTTTGCTGGAAATTTCTTTAACCATTTGCCCTCCAGAAGATTTACCCCACTACCTGACCAGCCGCTGCATTACTGTAACTGAAATTTGTCATTTTTTCCTCACAAATGGAGCTTTCTTTCAGTGGTATTTGATCACCTCTGTGGTTTTTATTTTTTGCGCTATAAACAAAAAAAAGTCCGGCAATTTTGAAAAAAAAACAATGTTGACTTTTTGCTATAAAACATATCCAATAAAAAAAATAAAAAAAATATAATTTCTTCATAAATTTAGGCCAAAATGTATTCTGCTACATGTCTTTGCTAAAAAAAAAAAAAAAAAAAAAATCCTAATACGTGTAAATTAATTGGCTTACGTGAAAGTTATAGCATCTACAAATGACAGTATATATACTGGAATTTTTATTTCTTTATTCTCTTATACTAGTTTTGGTGGCAATCAGTGACTTATAGCGAGACTGCAGGACTGCAGCGGGCATTCTGACACCGGGTGGGACCTGACTAACTGCCACTGACATGTCCAGTGACACTAATACAGTGATCAGTGCTAATAAAAAGCACTGTACTAATGACACTGGGCTGGAAGGGGTTAATATCTGGGGCGATCAAAGAGTTAATTTGTGTGTTAGGGAGTGATTAGACTGTGCACTGTGCTGTGTTTTACTAAGCAGACCTGCTTTCTATATCTTTCTGCTGTGCAGAGAGATGGAAAGCAGCACATTCATGCTGACAGCAGAGATATTTTTGTTGTTTATACACAGATATGTCTCCTCTCTCAGCTTCACTGACAATCACTGAGTCCTAGCCGAAAATCGCTGGCTAAGACCCGATGATTGACAGCCTCAGGAGCTAATATCAGCGCAGGAAATGCAAAATCATATATATTTACGTGATTTTACCCAGCGAAACCGCCCTGTAGCAGTACATTATTTTCTGAAAGCAAAGAGCCTGGAGAAATAAATAGTTGAAATAAACTTTTATGTTGCCCAATGTTTGTACAGCTGTGTATCAAAACATATTATCAGGAAAAAACACACTAAAATAATTTTTAACCACTCGCCTACCAGGCACTTTTACCCCCTTCCTGGCCAGGCCAATTTTCAGCTTTCAGTGCTGTTGCACTTTGAATGACAACTGCACGGTCATGCAACACTGTACCCATATGAAATTTTTATCTTTTTTTTTCACACAAATAGTTTTCTTTTGGTGGTGTTTAAACAAAAAAAAAACAAAAGAGCAAAAAATTAAGAAAAAAAGTTTTTCTTTGTTTCTATTAAAAAATTTAGCAAACAGGTACATTTTCTCCTTCACTGATGTGCATTGATGAGGATGCACTGGTAGGCAGCACTAATAGGCACTGATGAGGTGACACAGATAGGTGGTACTGATAGGCAGCACTGATGGGCCATGATGAGGTGGCATGGATAGGCAGCACTGATGGACACTGATAGGCAGCACTGATGAGGTGACACGTATAGGCAGCACTGATAGACTGCACTGGTGGCACTGATGAGGCAGCACTGATGATGCTGCACTGATAGGCAGCAATGATGGGCACTGATGAGCGGCACTGCTGGACACTGATAGGTGGCACTGATGGGCGCAACTGCTGAGGGGCACTGCTGGGCAGCACTGATGGGTGGCACTTCTGGGCACTGAACATTAGTGCAGATCTGCTCCGTGACATTTGCTGGTTGTCAGCAGTACTTTCCTCACGCTGTGACAGTGTGAGGAAAGTGCTGCTGATAACCAGCAACTGTATTTACTTTGTGATCTACTGCGTCATTAAACACAGCTGATCACGTGGTAAAAGGCTGCTGTGATTGGCCTTCTACCTAGTCATGGATCACTGACAGTGCCAGGTGCACACTGCGGGAGGATGCATTCTGGGCAGGGGCGGACTGACCATTTGGAAACACGGGCACTGTCCGAGGGCCCGGGGTAAGTAGGGGGCCCCATGAGATGCCCCTGGTACCTTTTTCATAGGCTTTTTTGAGTTTGGGCAAGGACACAGGGGCCCCATGATCCCCTATTGCCCAGGGGCCCCATGGGTTGTCAGTCTGCTCCTGATTTTGGGAGGACGTCATATGACACCCCTCCCAGAACTGGATAACCACGCTGTAGCTGTCTTTCGGCTTTAGCGTGGCTGTAAAGTGGTTAACGTGTGTGAAAAATTGCTCTGATAGAAAAAAATTGTTAAAACATTCGCACATATCTATGGTCAAATTGTAAAATCATGTCTTTATTTTCACATTGTACTTCAATTATTTTCAGCTTCCATGTAATAATCTGAATGACCTTAACATTTGTAAACTTACTTTGTGAAGATCACCACACATATCCTTCCATATTCACTGTCCTGTGAGTAAATATTGCTGTGTCACACATTTCATGGAACCTCCCTTCTGAACAAGACAAGTGCTGAAAGAAGAGTTACAGGAGGCGGAGTTAGTAGAGGGATCAAGGGCAGCAAGGTACCATGGGATATGTAGTCCTTAGATATGTGATGTAACCAGCAGAGGAGAAGCTGCAAAGCATGCAGGGAATTAAAGAAGGTGCTGAAAGACATGAGAAGCAGACAGAGCTAACAACATGAAAGGAGATTCTTCAAGTAAGCAAATATTGGATTGTCAAATATAATTACTATTTGTATTGTTATTACAATGCTATAAATGAAAGTGTCTGCTGTGGCCATAGATTTCCTTTAATGGACATTAATACAATTATATATAGTACATCAAGCTGATCTGACCAGTATGAAGTGATGGATTACTCCTGCTCAAAGGAAGCCCTCAGAGACTTGGCTACGGCACACATACTACTGCTTGAGATAACACAGACGTGTGCAAAGAATACAGACCAGCTGTAGTTTCTGACATCAGCTATTACCAAACAAATACTGTATAGCAAACTTCTTACAGTAAATAGTATCAGATTCTTGCCAGTGGTTGTAAACACTACATGCACATACTGTGTGCAAACAGCAGCAGCTGTCAGAGGCAGGCGATTTGTACGCTACACCGTTCATCTGAGAGGATACATGCAGTCAGAGCCAACCCCAGATGCAGACTGTGGGGTTGATTTACTAAAAGCCAATAGACTGTGCACTTTGAAAAGTGCAGTTGCTCTAGAGCTTAGTAAATTAGGCAAACCGTCACTTTGTAAAAGAATACCCAATCACGTGCAAGGAAAATAAAAAAAAAACAGCATTTCACACATGATTGGATGATGGAAGTCAGCAGAGTTTCTGCTCGTGTACTAAGCTCCAGAGCAACTGCTCTTGCAGAATGAAACTGCACTTTGCAAAGTGCACAGTCTATTTGCCTTTAGTAAACCAACCCCAGTGTGTACCCAAGGTTGGTATTTCTGCTGAGTTTCTGGTCATTCACAAAGGGGCCACAACTTTTTATGCACCCATAGCACAGAGTACAGCCGCCTCTGAATGCAGCACCACATCGCCCAAGTGAATGAAAAAGGGAAGTTCATTGTTAATCCCCGTACACACGATGAGAATATTGGACATTTGCATGCTAGTCTCGTATTGAAAGTGCAGAGGTTACTAAAGTTACAAAACTTCTTGTAAAACAGAATAAAAATTTGGAAGTGATGTCATGTCTTTGTATTGTATTTTCAGATGAAAACTGTACTGATTAAATGAAAATCGTACGATGTGGTATCGTATGAGAAACATTTTCGTGCTTGTCCCTTCAAATAATTCCGAAGAAAAGCTGTGAACAAACGATCAGATTATTGTACAATTGCTTTGAAAGTTGTATTTTTTCATATGATTTTCTTATCCTGTGTATTAGGCTACATTCACACAGGCGATTAGCACACCCTGCAATTTTCAGTGACAAGACTCTATGGACTCCTGCATCTGGAATGGCAGCTGAGTGTGAAGAGCTGAGCTCAATCAAAATAAAACAATGACAGGCTGACAGCGGCTGCAGATATTTGTTACTGTCTGCATAGCCAGCAACATTGCCTCTTGCGATCATAGATGGAGGCACACAAAATTCAGCAAATATTCCCTGGAGGTGAATCTTCCAGGTCCACATGTTTTATTGGAAGTAATTGACCCTCCACCAGAGAATGTTTGGTGAATGTCACATTTAATGCCTTATAAATAGATCCCTTGAAGGAGTGATCCCCTGCTGATCAGAACAGAGAGGGCGGGTGACAGGTCCATGTGTGCTCAGTTTAGGCAGAGCAGACATGGGCAGAGCCCACTCTGCGGGTTGCTGGCTGAAAATGGACCAGCTGTTCAGTTACACCTGAATTCCCTCCGATCGGATCCACCTAGATGGAAGGAGTGGTT